GGGTTTGAATTTCTCCCCCCCCCCCCCCCCATTTCTCATTAGCCATATGACAAACACAATGTAAGTAAGTGGATGTGCTTGGCACATTTTTAAATTGGCTAATACAAAGTCAGCCTTACAAAGAGAGATGCTTTTTCCTCAGATAAGCATTGCCTTGTATAGTTATTTAAAAACTACCTTGTCCACATTCAAGATCGAGTTATAAAAATAAATAAATACATAAATATCGATGCATCAGTGTTTAAAATTTATCCTAAATTAATGGTGGGAACTGTAGTTAGCTCCTAATTGTCATCCTTATTAGCACCTTAAAGGAAACGAGGATGGTTATTCATTTATGCATCTTATTGGCTAGATTAAACGTAGCTATTCATCTTGCTCAAGGATGGGGATGTGCTGGGAAGGTCCCAGAGACTTTAGGATAAGGGACATACAGACAAGAGCCTGTTTGCACAGCACATTTCACAAATCCAGACCCCAGTACACGTTGCGGTAGGCCATGATGGAGCATTGCTGTCGTCGCTATCGTGTCAGTCCTTTCCTTCTCTTTTAAAATGAGCTATCAGACAAGGCTGAGTAAATATTAGAAGGGCAGGCCAGGCGGGTAACCAGCTTCCTTCAGGTTTGAAATACGAAAGCACAGCCGTCATCAACACATCTGTGTGTCTGTCCAAGGTTTCCAGGCAGCACCTGAGCATCCCTGGTGTGCCAGCTCGCTCACGGCTCTGGTGCTACCAGGAGAGCATCCCCCAGCCTGCAGCTCGGTCACTGAGAAAGGTGTTGCAGAAATGGTGACAGCAAACCTAGAAGTTTGCATCCAGCACCTGAAGCGCTCTCCAACAAAGTGCAGAATGTTATCTGCCGTGCTTTCCCTGAGCCCCAACCTTCCCTGTCCCCAAGCTCTGTTCTGTCTGCGGGGCTGGGTTAGGTCCAAGCTGTAATTAAACCAGGCTTAAAGATGATCTCTGCTCCATCTGGAGAAAGTCCTTATTAATCATGAGCTGCAGAAGCATAGCACCACCGCGGCTCACCTCTCCATCAGCAACCTGAGCACCAGGACCTGTGTCCTCCCGATGGGGTGTAGGGGGGGGCTCTGAGCAGGTCTGTTGCATGAATTTAAAGACAGAACTTCAAAACGAGCTGATTTGTCCTAACATTGATCTGGCTGCACATTTTAAGCATGAAAAACAATTCCACAATAGATTTTCCTCCTCTTGGTGCATTTTTCTCATTGTTCACTTCAATCTGACAGTAGCTAGCATGCTGCAAGGGACCTTCACGTTTGCTCAGACACTGTCTTTATGCTCATTTCCATTTCTAAAGCTTATTATCATCCGTTTTCTTTAAAGATTTAGCAAAAAACCATATGCAACCAGATTACATATAATTGATATGTATCGATAAATCAATAATTTGGGGCACGTTTTGGCCTAAACTTTGTGGGGCAGCATGAGAAAGAGTCAAAACAATTTGAGGTTTGGTTTGGATTTTTGTTCCTATCTGAAGCAAAATACATATCATAGTCTTTGCTTTTTTTAATTCCTGGTATTGTCTGAAAAACTTTAATATTAACCTTTTTGGAAACCTGCACTGTGTTTAGTTATATGTAGAAAGGATTCCAATAGAGAGCTTTAAATACAACAATATATAACTAAGCTGTGCAGTTGACCAGAAGAGAAACTAATATGCAACCGTCCACCTGGTGTGATTTGCAGCTATTCACACACAGGGAGTGCTGTTCTTTAAGGTTTTATCAAAATACTTCTCGCCACAAAATTAAAAAACAATCTAAGAATTACATTGAAGAATGCATTTAATCCATTTTTATTAAAACAGACTGGACTGCAAGAACTGACTCACAACTGTGCTACGGAAATAAACGTGTAGAAATCCCCAAGGCTGTCCCCCATGAAACCCCGGCATAAATTTAGCTACGTGGTTGCAGCAATTCCAGTGCCACCTTCTTAGAGAAACACACTGCAACCCAAGCAGGACTTCTACTGCAGCAATGATCCTGCTAGCGACACCAATGTGAATTCCCTTTCTGATCATTTCCGAAATCTAGGTTTGAGGTATGCCTCAGTTACAAATTTATTGCACTTGGGATTTTCAAAAACGTCTGCAATGTAGGGAGTGAGGAATTACGTCACAGAGATTCGCAGACGCTCCTTGGCCTCCCGAGTCTCCTCTTTAAGCCAGCTACCAGCAATTTGCAATTTCAGGACTACATTTTATTAACGCCCAGATTTCTTTCTCTCCCATCTGTTATTCATCAAATGCCACACTTTCTGGGGTGGAAAACATCTCCTTACATCATGCATGTTGCACCTAGGCAACATGGCCCAAACTGGGCGAAGTCTGAACTTTGTCTGATGAGCCTCATAGGCTTGCCCAGCTCTGCAGCAGAAATTTTACCAATGAACTTTGTGAAAACAGCAAAAGCAATACTGGCTGTTCCTGAGGGGTAGGCTGCTGGGTCAATAAATCATAATCACTGACCAGTCTAACAGCAGTAAGTGTCTATTATCTTTACTGGGAATGATGAATGAACTAAGATAAATTGCCCCTCATCCTGGTATAAAATTTTCATTCCAGACATAGGGTATGTTACTTGACAGCAAACATTTCTACAGAAACCCCACCTTCGTTTCACTGCTGTTAAATGAATATAAAAGAAAGTTCTGTCCTAATTCTACTTGTGTAGAACTGCACCATTCAAAAGCATGGTGTAATTTGACAGATCAAAGAAATGTCTCAACGATATTATGGAAATAATCGGTATGAAATTTTCCCCGCACAAGTAGTACCTTTACTAACACTCGGGCCCCTGGGCTTTCATCCAACAAGCTCAGAATTCAGATTACTCTGATACTCCCAAAATCCTTTGGCAGCCAAATAGTTGCAATTTGCCAATAATCTTCTTAGCTGAAGGACCAAAAATGATAACTGACCTTCTTTAATCACTGTCTGACTTTAGTTGATTACATCTTCAAGACATCTTTCTAGACGTGGGCAAAAAACCTAGAACTTGACTGATTTTAAAAACCAATTACAAAGCCTAAAACATGGTTCTCTGAAGTAGTAATCACAGAACAGAATCATAGAGTATCTTGAGTTGGAAGGGACACGTAAGGATGACTGAGTCCAACTCCCATGGTGTTTCAAATTGTTGCCTTACATATAATAAGTAATACATAATCCAGCCAGGCGTTAGACTCCATCTCGAGCAATAAGGGAGCTAGATCGATAAAAGCCATAAAGGAGCATTACTGTCAATTAAGAAAAAAACACACATAGGTGCTTTTTAAATGGCTTCATTCCAACCTGCAGGGCTTTCATTTGGTTTTCAGAATTTTTTTTTTAATTTTTTCAGAAACCATAAATCCATAAGTTTACCCCATTTCTTCTAAGGTCTTACATCTCCTTCTTCTCCACCCCTATTGTCCATGAGCTCCTCTGCAACCTATTCCAAGCATGGCCTCAATCTGCTCATCCTCCACCACCCTCAAATCTAAAACTCAGCATCTAAAACATCTGAGAGGTATTCTATGCCTTCTGATTGCTTTTTGTTGACTTCCAAAGCCCTATCTTGTTATAAGCCTGTGCATTTATTTCGTTAATAACTTTTATTAATCTACAGTTGTTCACTTGACATGTGCCTATACCTACTGTGTGGCCTGTTTGAGCCCGACACTTCATTTCATAGCAGATGGTATATTAAAGGCCCACTCAGTTTAGGCAGGTAGCAGCTTTTTTTCCCCGCAGAGCGGCTGCTACAAGGTATGTCTGGAGATATTTTACATGCCTTTGTATCACACTCTTTTCCTTTCACTCTTTCACAGAGGTGGGAATGCAATGAAGCAGACAGACAGAGGCTATCGCGCTTGTGAGATGGAACAGCCAATTTCAGTTCAGAACGGACTAATGCACAAAAACACCCAGCAAAGACTTGCCCTGATTCATCCACAGCAAAAATATGTTGCTTGCAGCTACAGGGCTCATAGAAAACACAATGAACAGAAACAATCTGCGCAACACAATAAGAGCTTGAGTGCAACGTGATGGATGGTTTGCATGCATGCATGACATGAAACATTCTCAAGGAAAAAGAAAAAAACACCCAAGAATGCTGAGCGCCTAAAGGAAACCGCATACTATCAGAAGAGAGTCATAAGAGAGAATTAATGCTCAAGGAGGGGAAAAAAGCCAAAGTTGGAGGGACAACTTAGCAGTCCACTGGCTGCTTTTCATAGCCACTCACTACCATCCAACTGATAGCATGCCTGTAACATAAAGTCATCATCTAAAATAATAGCAGAAGTAAAATACCTCAGAAATAACAAGCATTTAAAGAAATAAATGGGCAGGTAGGGTACATATGAAGTATTCTCATGGGAATACGCTGCTCTTCTTTCCAGGATGAGATTTTTTGCTTAGGAGAAACCCTCAAGCCATTGCAATTAAAGTAAAATATTTACATTTTTTTCTGATGAGAGCCGAGTGAGGGTGCAAAGCAAAAGAAACATAAGTAAAGTTTGCCAAATTGTGACACTCAAATTTGGAGATCTGTGTGCTGCTGCCTCTTATGGCTGCTCTACCCCTGTCCCAGGCTGGAATATCACAACACTGAAACATATTCATGTTACAGAAAGCAGAAAATTATATTGGCAGAAGGAACCTCTGGAACTCTATTTTTACTACATGAGTTTCACACCTCTATGTGTGAATTTCAGCACAGATTTACCAGAGCATTTTAGTTTATTAAAAAAGTTCTAAGTGACAAATCATTAAAATAAAAATTCTCATCAGCAGCTTGCAAAGCAGTCTAACAAGGCACTCCTCACTTAAATTACTGATTTTCACAGTTAAATTATCAACTAATGACACCTACTCAAATTAGAAAAAAACCCTGGGTCTTCTAAAAGCAAGACTAAAGTATAAGAAAACTGGGTGATCAGTGAAAGAACAGATGAGTAAGTTACTTTGGTCTTACTTCTCGTCTATTTGGTGTTGTGATAGTAGCTGGAGTTTGACATCCCTCCCCCTCGGATGGCATGGACAGCTGTTGGAGAAGACGCCGGGTAATGACCAGGGCGGATGGGCTTGGCTGCAGAGTAAAAGTAGGAAACCAAACAAGACATTTAGCTTTCACACAAGGTCTTCTACCTCACCACCTCCTCCAGTACAAACCCCATTGTTTCCAAACAAGGAGCCGTGCTTGGCAGAGTAGTCTGCAATCTAGTTCTGCGGAACACAGCATTCCCTTACCTCAGCCAACAACAAATACATCCATTTTCTGCTTGTGACAGAGCCATTTAATCATCCCATGCATGCCCCTCATCTCTGCAAAGATTATGTGTATGCCTATGCAACAGAGGGAAGTCATGACCCACTTGGCGGTCAGTGGTGTACTTTCTGTGTCCAATTTGACTATTTATATCACTTCAGAAGATGCTGAGACAAAGCTGTCAATGGCTTGCTACGAGAGGTAGCATACAGCAGGAAAGATTGCGTGCTGCCTAATTCTTTCCCAGGTTTTAAGACACCGGTATTAGCATCACAATCCAAAACATTATCCTTCTACTTTAGCAATATCAACAAATCATTTCAAAAATCGCCCCATCTTAAACATCATTTCATTGTATGCAGGCATCCAGATTGCGCCACAAATATATCAAAGCATCTGAATTACATCGGAAGATTCTTGGCTCTACACAGTCCAAATTAAATCAGAAGTGTGAGTAATCAGGAAAAAGAGAGGAAACAACAAGGTCCAGAAATGCAAGGAAAGAATGAAAGCAGAAGGGGGAGGAGGAAGAAAGTGAGAGACTAATTTAAAGAGACAAGTTTTCGGGTCACTAGAAGGGCACACAAGACCCATTATGGCCATTTATTTACTGAGTTAAATAGCAGAGGAGCTTTAAACTTTAGGTGGGGCAGATTCTATTAAAAAGTGAAGTCTTTGAAGATTCCTGTGCAGCAGAGGAGAAGCAGACCCGGTGGTTTGCCCTGGACCGCTGCTTTCAAAGCTCGCTCTCTTAAAACATGAGCAAACAGACCAACCATGAAGCATGTGAGCAACCACTAACCCTTTAGCTCCATGTCCTTACCAATTTGAGCAGAGTGTGCTCTCCGTGCCATGTTTTTGGCTCTCACAGCCTCCTTAATGCGATCTACCTCCTGCTGGTACCGTTTGCGGTCTCGCATGGCATTCTCCTTGGCCTCCTTCAGTGCACTCTCCAGGGCCTTAACTCTCTCTGCCGTAGCTCTAAGTCGTTTTTCCAGCTTAGGAAGCTCACAACGAAGATCTGCATTATCACGTACCAACTGCAAGAAAAGAAGTTTCAAAAACATCCTATGAGAAACTACGTGAAAGATTCTCTTACAAGGAGAGACAGAAGATACCACCGATTCCTCTTCACACCTTGTATACCATGAATGAAAGAAACAGGCTTCTTCCAGAAATGACTGTAAAAAACTTCAGTCAGAGACAGATTTATTTTTAATCATGCAGTTCATTTGTCTAGATGAGGTATGATATTAATTTAAATTTCCCAGAAAGATCAAAGAAAAAATTAAGTTTATTCCATTCAACAAAACTTCACGGATCTGACCGCAGAGGGTGAGGGCACCAGGAGAAACCCTGCTGTCACGATATCCATTTTTCTAGACTTTAAGAGCAACTGTGGCAGAAACTCTTCATTTCTTCAGAACGCAGAAATGTCCGGCATTTCACAAATACTTCATCACCTCATTATTTCAAAATGGCAATGCTTAAGAATGGCTTATAGACAACACTGGGTATCATCAAAAATTCATCTCCACTGGTTATGGCACACCATGCTTCCCTACTTGTTCCCTACTCAAGCATATGGAAAAATCAGAAACTTCAAGGCCTCAAACATCATAAGAAATCGCTTAGGGCCTGTAGCTATAGATACGGTGATTATATGCAGTTCTGAATTCATGCAAATCCTCAGTTAAGTACGAGCAAGGTCTGTCGATGATCAGAATAACATCTAACTTCGCATGCAACAACAACCAAGACAGAGAACTGATTTTCTTGTAAACAAAAACCTGATGCAAACAGAAAATCCAGTACAATTTCTACTGAACAGATTATACCACCACTTGAAGTCAACAGAAAATTGTTCCAAAGGAGTGATTCTCCCTTTTCTGGAGTAAAGAAAGCAGTTTAACTGCCACATTAATAACACAGTAAAGCAACAGCACATACTGGCATTCACATGTTGTTTGACAAACAAAATGTTTTTACACCTGCTAGTCCAGGCTTAGTGCCAGAAGAAAAACACAAAGCTAAAAAAAAATTGTGACAATGTGCTTTTTCTGCAAGTGTTGAACCCTTGTTCTATGAAATAGCTATATGAAATAAGAGCAGGATGGTATCACATTGAGGTCAAGTCCAATGTCATTTTTCCCTCTAAGTTTCTTATGAGACATGGGGCTCCTAGTTGATTTTGAGTATATATACACTAATGGGAGCTATACAAATCTGTACCAGAAAACCCAGGAGAAGCGTGAACTGAGTGCAAAAAAGGCAAAACAGTAAAAGGAAAAACACTCCTAACATGTCCTGATTTCCACATTTAGAAACTAGGTCTTTAAACCATCTGTTCACTGGGAATCTCAAAATACTGAACCTTAGCAGACACGCGTCACGGTCCGGCACTGCTTGCTTTTTCGGCGCTTCCACCGGAATAAATAAAGCAAATCTCAGAGGGCACTGTGTCTCACTAATAACAGATTCAGAAAACTGCACTGGAGAACGTTATGTCACTATTCAAAAATGAAATCAAAAGCATCTTTACTACTTCGTGCTCTGCACCTCACCAGTGGGACGCAGTTCAGAAATACTGGCATCTGGTAAAGAGGGTGGAAGCACACTTATTGGCAGAAATGATCCAGTGTTTTCTAACGAGATGCTGCCTAAATATATACACAGACCACTGACATAGACGCACTGCCAGTAAGCAGAGGGCAAGGATCTTTCCCTGATGTATACCCAGAACACTTGCCTACCACACGTGCCCTCCACCCCCCGTTTACACGGTGGGTACCTGTGGTGAAGGGCTCTCCGTAGCCCTTGTCTCTGAACAGCAGAATTGCAAAGGAAACAGCAACTCCATGAAAGAGGTAGGAGACAGAGATGGACATGCCCAGAAATGACCAACCTCAGCATCCCAGGGTGGTGCCAGCCCTTAAAGCTGCAAAAAAACGCTCTATTGCTTTGCCTTCATCCTCTGCTGGTTGACTCCAGTTAAGTCACCTCCGAGAGTGCCTCTAAGCAGCCTTAAACCAGGAGGTAGGAGACAGAGATGGACATGCCCAGAAATGACCAACCTCAGCATCCCAGGGTGGTGCCAGCCCTTAAAGCTGCAAAAAAACGCTCTATTGCTTTGCTTTCATCCTCTGCTGGTTGACTCCAGTTAAGTCACCTCCGAGAGTCCCTCTAAGCAGCCTTAAACCAGGAGTCAAAACTGGGGATACAGAATCCATCTAGAAACCAGCAATCAGCATACAAGGTAATAACGAAACACTTTATTCTGGTTTTTATGCATTACATCAATACAGTGGCAATGAGTCTTGCCAAAACTGCTAGAGTCTATTTTCACAGAAAAAATAATTGCTTATTTAAGCCATTCAGAAGAAGTATGGGTAGTGGGAAGAGCAGCTCTAATCCCAAGCCCTAATGCCAAGACCTTTAGTCGATAACTATAGGTACCATTTCCTCAGACAGTACCTACATGTTACCTTCAAGTATTATAATTTTAAAATAAAAAAGTGTATTTTTTTCTATAAAAGGCAATTTGTAATACTACAGAACGGTGATACATGTAAAATTTTTCTCATCGCTGAGTTTTCAGAAGCAATTACTATTAATCAATGAAAAAAGACACAGAAGATTTTGACAGACCCCCTACCTGTTTGTGAACCTTTGTAAGCTGTTCCAGGTTGTTCTCAAGAAAGGAAATTTTCTGCTTCTGTGCAGCACTTCCGCCTCCGTCGTCGCTGTCGAGTTCAACGCTCTGCACAGAGAGTTGCAGCATTCAGCAAAGGCTGGCAGAAACTCAAGAGGAAGCTCAAGTCTTTTGTGAATTTAAGCTTCCCAAAGGCAGAAAAGTCTTCCAGAGCCCCAGATGAAAGATAATTTATTTTGCCTGGTCATTTGATGTTTAAGAGCCACATTCCCTGCTACACCAAAAATAAGCTATTCTTACTGATACAATTATGGGGGGATCCTGAATAGGAAGATCACAGATTTTAGTGGGAAAACCCCCTTTTCCCTCTTTTTTCCATTCCTGAGAGACATTTTTATGTAATATGGTTATTCAAGATTAAAAAAAAAAAAAACCCAGCATAAAAACTCTTCCCCCAACGACTCTAAAGGACTGAAAAGCGTTGTGAAGCCTCTGACTATTTATGCAGCTTCTGACTCTTCTTAAACAGTTAAAAATACATTAATTTCTGCCAAATAATAATTTTGCCAGGAAAAGGCTGACCAGTCACAAGGACACAGAAAGAAAGCGCGGCAGCATTCAGTGTAGCGTAAGTTAGAGCAAGTTATATGGAATAATTTCTGGTACCCATTAATGCCATCTTTGAGAATTTTGGAACGGAACTGAATTGGATTGGCTCATTTCACTTAACCACCAAGACTTGTCCTTAACACATTAGGACCACATAAAAGCTAATAAACATCAGAACCATTTCAATCTTATTACCCACTGTTACTGAAAAAGTCAATAACCCGTTTTGTAACAACATGCACTAAAGGCTTCCAGCAAATCACAGGAATACCGCAAAAAAGATAAGGCTTTGGTTTAGAAGAGTGCAGTCTTACTTTTTTAACGCGGGTGGTGAGATCTTGCACAAACAGTTTGCGTAGGTTGTGAAGAGTCTGAAGTTCTCTTGCCTGGCATTAAAAAAAAAAAAAAAAAAAAAAGCACAAACCAGTAAGACATAGTAGATACCCTGGGGTAAAAATTCTCTTCAGATTCGAGTAGGTAATATGACTTTATTGTGATTTACTTATAGAGATGTACCTGCCTGTAGGTATACGCAGCTCACAGAAAGGCAGTGCCCACGCTGTTGCCCATGGAAGACCTCTTGCACCTCCCAAGGTGTTCACAACACCAAAGCTACTTCTGAAAATATGTTGACTCTGTCTTAGGGTGTGGGGAAACAACAGCAGGAAGCTGAAGTCTCACAAATTGGCCACGGTGACACAAATCTAGTGATGTGAAAGAGCTCTGGATTTACTCTCTAGCAAATGCATTGGCCCCCTCTGAATGCTTACTCACAGGCACTTAAGATGTTTAAGTACTTTTTAAGTTTTGGCAAAAATCCATGCTTTCCCAGCTTTTTTTATATGCATCAACTTCTCAGGCTCAGCGAAATAATCACCTTACTCCAGACTGGAGGTGTGACACCAGAAGTGGCAACCCAGCACCTACTTGCAGAAGGACGGAAGCACTAATCCACTTGCAGGAAAGGAAGTTACATGGATAAGCCGTTCACCCAACCCCATACTGCACCAAAGCCATACTGAAGAGAACAGTCTTTCCAAAGTTGGTAAGAGCAACCTTAGCTTTTCCATTTTATGCTTAACCACTCAGGTACAGGAATTTAAATTAATCACTCAAATAAGCTCCACCACGGCTACAAGTGTTTGAATTTGAATTTTTTTTCTTCCTCTCTCAAAAGAAAAAGGCAAAACCGACTAGAAATCAAAAAGGAGACGCTTCCTTCATGGACTACTAGAAACCATATATTACAAGCACAGCTTGTTTATGTATGAGTGATGTGGTACCCAGAAGAGGCACCGTGTGCCACCGAGTCAAACACAGCTGCAGAGCAGATGCCTCCCCAAGAGCTCCCATTCCGGGTGCTGCCCCAGCAGACCACCATCCCGTAACTCCCTCCCACAGGACCTCTTCTTTTACTTCCTCAACAGTCCAGTGCTGGGAAGGAGACTGAGTCAAAGAAAAGCAGCAGCTGTGGTCTCATCAGAACTGTTCTTCATCTTTTCCTTCTCAAAGCAATCATCCAAATGACATGCAGTGCCCACAGAGCCTGATGCCTCCCCACACCAATGGGCAGGGATGAGCCACCACTTGGGCTTT